TAAAAAAACCACTGAATATTAACACCCCCCAAATTTTTAATAAAACTAGACTCTCAGTGAGAAAACATACAGCTAAGCTCACACTTCCTTCCTCCCCTCACTCTCACCCCCTCTCCCCGGCAATATAAGTCTGACATTATTTACATACAGGAAACAATTTCCCAATAAGGCTAAATTATCAGCAGGTATCTTAGAAGCTTCTACAAAATATGAGCACACCACAGACTTTTTTCAAAAAAAGAACATACAAAAGGCTTTGTATCCAAATAGCACTGATCCCTGAGCAGTGAAAGACTCAAACTGCATTGAAATTAGAAGTTTAATTCCAGTAAAACTCCCCACTTTTCCCCTTGTTCTCTTAAATAAGAAACTAAGCTCACCCGAACAGAACGAACACGTAGAGCCAGAAACTTAAACATGACTAAGAAACCATGATGGTTAGATTTTCTGACTGAGCGATCACAAGTCTAGCAGGGAAGACCAACCCTGGCGTTTTTGCTGTGACCAGCTGTTCCGGCAATTAGAAAATTTCCTGTCAGGCAAGTCAGACACAGCTGGGGGGTAGGGAGAGAGAAGGGGGAAAAAAGGTAAAAAAAAAAAAAAAAAAAAAAAAAAGAAAAAAAGAAAGACATTGATTCCCCGTGAGCACACACACCCCGTGTAAAGCAGAACTGGGCAGCAGTGGTACTCATGTTGCTGATGCTTGTAGAGATCAGCACAGGAAACTTAAGCAGATTGCCTGATAGCAACATGCTGCTGCAGATGTTACTGATTCCTGGTTCCCAGAAAAGAGCAAAAGAGATCAACATCTATTTCAGAAATCATGCTACTATGCAACATTTCACTAGTTAAGTGGGATAGCAAGTATTTTAAGTCCTATATGTGAGAATTTTATTTTTATGAATTTTAACTTACCTTCACAAAGTATTTTAAGAGATCATGTATCACTACTTTTGAGACTTCAATGCAGAGAATGCTTCATGACTGTTTTTATTTACTAGAATTTAGTTAGAGGACCAAAATGACCTTGTGCTTAGCCCTTTGAAGTCCTGAACATAGAAAATGCTACACAGATGTTACAGGCCAATGCAGACTGCAGAAATACTTGAATTGGATTGCCCAGCTCAAATGTCTGACTTATGCACCAATATTATAGTGCTCTGCAGAGTGAAAGATTTCTTCATGTAACAAAAATACCTAAGTTTTCTTTCAATGCTTTTGAAAAACTCAAACATTTAAAATCTTTCTGAGAATTAGAATTCAGTCTAATTACTTTGAACAGCTAGAGATGAAGTCTTTGATTTGATGTGTCTCTAGATTTAGTATGGGAGTTATTTTTCTGAATATTGACAGCATCTTTAGCTTTATTTATATTTATTAAAAACACTGAAAAGCAGAGTACATGCTACTTTGGTGGAACAAGACTGATTTTCAAGTAATAAAGACAAGCAACAATATTTAGTCAAAGGCATATACAAGTACTCAGCTATAAACAGATCCAGGTGATTCTATTTAGTGACTATACCACAGGACACAGAGCAAAATACTGTACTCCTACTGGCACAAGACATTAAAGCAAACCCACCCTCCAAACTGGTCCCTTGACTGAGTTCTAACAAGTATCTGGATCCCTGCAATTTTTTGGTTATATTTTAATTCCTCTTCAGAAGACGAAGCCAGTCATTTATTTAAGTAACAGAGCACATTGTTTCTATCTCTATACCACATCCTGGTGTCTACAGCATCAGTTTCTAGTTTTTCCTTTATACCTGGATCCCACAAGCCAAATCATGCCCTTTCTGTATTCTCTTGTACTCATCTGGGTCTTTTATTTATGTCACATCCACAGGGAACGGATCTTTCCAATTCTGTGTACTGAACATACACAATTATTATAGATTACACAGGCATTCAGGAACTCCTACTACACAAAGGAGGATTTTGTGACTCAATTGAGGACTCAAAAGTCCTCATTACAATGTACTTTTTACAGTTCACTGTGTTACAGCCTTTTGGGAAGAAGCAGTCTCTACTACAACAGCATTAACGCAGCATGAAAAATAATTCAGTACTTGTCTCAGGATAAACAGAGCTTCTTGAACACAAGGAGCTTACTGCAACACAAGGATATCAAGTGCTTCATAAATAGCTTCAGGCAATTTTTGTTCTTTCTTCTCTTTAATTGTTTTAAACTTCGAGCTGCTTCCCCCTCAAAATCAAAATATCTCAGGAATTGCAGTTCAACAGCAGCATAGGTGTTTACACTTTGAAGACTTCAAAAGAATGTAAATAAATAAATAAATAAATAAAGGGGAGACCATTCAAGCTCTCTGCCTTACCTCTCTGCCGTATCTTTTCTTGTCAAGAATAGATAGGAAGACACTAAAAGCAGAGGGAGGAGGAATCTTCAAATCACTGAATCAAACCCTACGGTAGCAAGGAGAGCTAAAAGCAGTAATGGAAATTGGTAAGAGCTACTCTAACTACAATGTTCCCTAAAGATGAAAAGATAGTGTGGGTAAATAACCATTTTCTTATCTTTCTGCTGTAAGGGCATGAGTGTATTCTGCTGTGATACACTGTATCTGCTAAGGTGACAGGAGTAAGGCATTTCAACTGCAACATTTGTACAATTACTGACTACTGCTCTGGCAAACCTTTTATATGACCTCCCAGGGCAGTACAAAGCACAGAGCTCAGGGGTCAGCAGGGTTACCTCACAACAATAGCTCTCCCATAACTGGCATGGGGCTGCTGCAGGTGGAAGAAATTTCTTGTGTTCTGGGAGAACACAGCCTGCATGGTTCCCAAAGAGCACTACCAGCCAACCAGAAACATTAAGATACATGCTACACAACTCATTTTGAAAATCTCTGAGAGGAGAGCTTGCCCTTTTAAATGTTCCTTCGTGTAAGGAGGAGACAGGTTAGAGGGCAGCAGTCCCCAACAGGGAAGTCTGTATAACAAGGACAAATTGCTCCAGCAAGTTGCTCCACTTACCTTCAAGTTTTTGATAAGGATTTATATTAAACATGTTTATCACAAAACACAACTGTCTCCAAAACAAAAGGAATTTGCTATGCCTGTCAATGACAGTTCTGTCAATTGCAGAACTCCACTTGCACAACACATTTCCTCCTCCTCCAATGCAGAAATATTAAGTGAGTTCATTTCCTATTGTCCCCTCCTCATCTTTTTAATTGGATGGTCCAAAATTACAAAAAAGAAAAGAAAAGATCATCAGACTTGCTGTCTAAACATTCAACAGACTGTGGCTCACAGACAAAGCCAGAGAGCAGGAGAACTGAAAAATGCTGGAGGACCTCTCAAAGCAGTACAGAACATGTGGGAACACATGAGTTTAGTGAATAAAATGTGCATGCAGTGCTGGGATGCTCACTTTTGCATATAACCAGAAAATGTTGAAACATTTAATCTAAGCAGAGTCCATTAAGTAGACCAACAACCTTCCTATACTCTCAGTTTGAGAAGTATAATAATGCAGATTAAGTCTTTATATGCTGATAGACAAACAAGGCTCTGTAGTATGGATTGCCTTCAGTTATCTGAAAAAAAACCCCCAAAACAAAACAAAGACAGAGCACACAAAGAATGAAAAGCCCTTGTTTGATGAAGGTCAACAGCTGAGGAACAGAGAAGTCATTTTTTGAGTTTTCAGAAGCTGAATAATATAATTCTCTTCATAATAAATATGTTTGCATAGCCAAAGCAGCAATATTCTATTTATCAGGGGGGGTGTCAGTTTCCATCTGCTAGTTTACAGGCTTTGCAGAGCTACCATCTGTTTTCACTCCCTCTAACAAGTAAGCAGCCTGACTTTGAATGCTGCTTACTCTCAAATTATTCTACTTTCTGATCAAGATCCAGAAAACACACAGCACCTAAGACACTAAGTGATAAATAAGCCACTCAGAAAATCCATTAAAACCCATCAATGAAAGTTTTGCTGTAACCTTTCCTCAACACCCGATGACATCTTGAGGGGAAAAAAGTATTCCCGGGCCTGCCTTTGTTACATGGGTTTGATGTCTAACAGTTACCATCTCAAACCAAATGCTTTGCACTGCTTACAAGGATGCTGGATCTTACATGAGGACCACTAAGTCCATTCTTACAGAGGTAAGATGCAAGCACATCAGTAAGTTGCTAACAAAACTCATCCGAGTTGCAGCACAGCACAGTGCTTTGGAAGATAATGAACTGCCAATTTCATTATATCAGAGGGAGAAAAAAAGGTATTCTGCCTTTTACAGAGCAAAGTCTAGGCACTGAGAAGGAAATAATGGTTTAAATTTTATAGATGTAAATGGTTTGCCTGGGAAACTTATTTGTTCAGGAACAGAGTTATTTGATTGTAAAATACAAATATATGTACACATAGATGTAAGGAAGTATATTTAGTAGAATACACTAAAAGGAATGTAAGACTCATGGACAACTTACTGCCTAACAGGGGACACGGTTTTATACTGAGTTACATAATATTATTGTTTCAAACACTTGTATTGCTATGGCTGTCACAAAAGCTTCCTCAGTCTGATTTCCATATAAACAGGCAATAATTAATCAAGAATGTGTAAGCAATATGAAAGTATCACTTTGCTGCATACTTCATCTTTTTGTAAAACTGCAAAAATATTAAGCTGTCACTGTTTTACTACTGATAATTTACACAAGTAGCTGTTTCAGCTAAAATTAAGTATTGGTCTGTAGAAAATGAGAAATTCAGAAGTTAGTGGGCTATGAACACATGTGAATCCAAACACTTCCTTAATGTTTAAGAAATTCTAGCTATGGCTTGCAAATCCAACCACAGAGCCTAGAATTTAAATAAAAAAACTGACAAATACACGCACAAAATTAAAATGCAAAGGTTATACCAGCAAAAGTAAAATAAACATATCAAAACGATCATCAAAAATACATTCACTGTCATGTTAACACATGACTATTCTTGAAATTGGCAACAGTTACTGAGCAGCCAAGCAGCAACACCCAACAGAAGTTTAGAACAGTCCTGACACAGTGCTGCAACCCGCAAAAATGCAAACAGTGTTTGAAACTGTGCTGGTCTGGGCTGAAGTGGAGTTAACTTTCTTCACCGGAGGTAGGATGGGGCTATGTTTAGGATTTGTGCAGGGCACAGGGTTGATGATGCAGAGATGTTTTTGTTATTGCTGAGAAGTGCTTGCACAGAACCAAGATATTTTCTGCTTTCTGTACTGCCACGCTAGCAAGGAAGTTGGGGGTGCTTGAGAGATTGGGAGGAGACACAGCTGGGACAGGTCCATACCATAGAGCATCATGCTCCGTATATAAGGTGAGAGGAAGCAGGAGGAAGGTGGAGATGCTTGGCGTGATGGTGTTTGTCTTCTCAAGGAACTGTTATGTGTGACAGGGCCCTGCTCTCCTGGAGATGCTGAACACCTCCAGCCCGTGGG